GGTAGCAATCCCTACCATTCTATTTCATTGAAGAGCATGAGGCGTACCAGTGTTAGTTTTCTTTAAAGGCCTTATAGAATTTGGCCACTTTGATAGAAAAGGTTGCTTTTCTTAGAATGACCCCCTTTTTATTTTCTATTCATTTCTTCAAACTCTTTCAACCTTATTTGTCTCTCTACCTCAACTGCATTTAGTGATGAATGTGTGATGGAAGTTTGGGTAGGGCAGTCTTTATCAATCAATGAGTCCCCATATGAATAAGTCAGATAACGCCCAAGTAAATCCACTGTCCCAATTAAAATAAGGAGGGACATTAGAATTGAGGTCAACACTTCCATTTTCTAGCCAGCTAGTGAGGGCGTCATTTACCTCTGAATTAAAAAAAAAGTTTTTATTTCCTTCACATAATTATACAAAGGAATTGCCATTCAAAAGAGCAGTTTATGAATACAGTGCCTTTTCATCATTGTCACCCCTTTTAACATTCTCATCTACCACTCCCACCTTTCCCCTTCCTTCACTTTTGTTAATTTTAGGTTATTTATTGTTTTTTTTTGCCATTTAACAATGCAATTTATATATACAATGCATCTAGATCTGTGTTATCTCTTCAACATCTTCACCTTCCCTCCACCCATCCTTTCCCTTATTTGTCTCACTTCTGAGACATATGCAACGCATTCTTGCCTGCGTTCTACTCATTTTCCTCATTCACTCTTCTACCCCTCTTCGCTATTTACCATAGCCAAGTCTATGGAATCAGCCCAGATACTGATATGGTTCTACTTACTCATCAGAAGGAATAACATTGAACCATTCATAATGAAATGGAAAGACTTGGAGCAGACTATGTTAAATGAAGCAAGCCAGATCCATACCTAGAGAAGCAACAGTTGTATGGTTTTCCTCATTAGTGGGAACTAGAAAGTACCTATAAATACTTGGTGGCACCCAAGTGGTTATAAATAAGCTGAAGTATAATAGAATCTATGGAGAACTCAAATATTATACTATAATTCTTTAGAAAAACCAATTCAAAGCCCAACAAAAGAGTACTAGGAATTGGGTACTATTCTCTGAATTTTTAGTTGACAATCCACCCAGTGCTGTAATTTTAACTTCTTTTTGTGTGTGTGCTGTCCAGGTCTAGGGTACTGTCAATAAGCATTTGTGCTCAAGGATAGTGCAATGATCTACCACTTTGAGCAATAGCACCATGTTCTGGCTTTTTAATACTTGGAAATAGGAGTCACAAGGACTGAGTGCCCAGGCTGGCTTTGAGCCATAATACTCAGATCTCAGCCTCTTGAGTAGCTAGGATTATAGTCATAAGTTACAAATGCCCAGCTAGTGCTGTTTTTTTGAGGATGAATATACAACCTCCTCTACCAGTCAGGAACCACCCCCTCCCCCCGCTTTTCTGCCGAATCATATCAGCTGCCATCCAATTTTTCCATGCCATCTTACCATCTTACTACTGAGATTTAATTGTTCTGTGCTTCCCTTATTACCTCTCTAGTATAATTGGCCAACATCTTTTGGTTATGGTAGACATAACTGATCCACTTTCTTTTCTGAAGAGGGCTTTGGGTGATGCCAAGATGAAAGAGATAGCCAATTGAACCAAAGTAAGGGTTCCATTCCATTTAAGCATTCCCATCTCCTCAAAACACTGGCTTTTATTGTACCCAAATATATTTACCAGGAACTCTTATTTTTCCCACCCTGCTCAGAGAGGCACAAGCTGAAGTAAGAATTATGGTACAATGATTTAAACAAATGACACTGTCCTTGTCCTTCAAGACTTTTGCTCAGAACCATCTTGTCTTGTAAGAGGGCTATCATGAATGTCATGCTGACAGGATCTCTGGTCCATCTCAAAGGGAATGGGGCAAACTGAGGTCTTGGTCTACCTGCTGCACATATATAATATTTTTCTTTAAAGTGCAAACAGATATTTTATTCATTCTAACCATGCATTTGTTTCATCACAACCAGCTTCAACAGTTAGGTCCTGTCTTACCTTCCAGTACGATTACCTCAGAATGATTGCCTTGAGGCGTAGAAGGCAATATTGGAACTCAGACATAAGCCCCATTGTAGTTAGCTCCAATAATTCTAAGAAGAATTCTTTTCAATCAGATGAAAGATGCAAAGTCTATCAGATCAGAAATGTAATTTTCCTATCAGGTCAGAAATGCAACTTCAGACAGAAATTCCTCATTTGTAATACCTATATACAGAAGGCTCCTCAGTCAGACTGTGTATCTATAACCATGACCTGGGGGCTATGTTATTTCTATGTTTACCATTATTATACTACTGATAGCTGACCATCCTCCATCACTCTTAACCACAGTAGAGTGGATAATTGCCCTCTGAAACTTCACACTTACTCTTGAAGGGAATATTTCTCTCAGTCATCACAGGGAACAATAGTACAGGAATGGAATTAGACAGTCATGGGGAGGAGATCTTGAGAATTCTAATAGTCTTAAGACAGCTCCTCTAGTGGATGAGAAATACTGACAACTACATGAGTGTTTTCAAAGTGATTTGGTATCTCCAGGACTGGATAATATTTTTTGGGGGGTAGTGAGGGCTCATATTATCCAAATACAGCAAATACATTCATTTTATGTAGTATGTACTACCCTATCAGTGATGCGTAGCACCTGATAACATGGCTCCCAGATTACAGTTTCTTTTTATTCAGTCTCAGGTTTAGTTTGGTATAAGGGGAAACTTGAGGGGTGGAGTTTGGGTCAGTAATCCTTGTGGCCTTCAGAGATGATAGGGCTGAAGAGATACTGAACACATAGGAACTGATCTTTGGTGTCAAGTATTGAGAAAAGTGATCTAGAAAATCCATTTCCCCTATATTTAAAGCAGAAGACACAAAACTCTTGGATTAGAAACAAAGGACTTTATTAGTCACAGCAATAGCAGTGGCCCAAGAACCCCCCCCATCTTCTTGTCCTGGTTCTCTGAGACCCAATTCACGCAGCAGGGTAACATGAAGACAGCTGAGTGATCACTGCTCATGCAGTAAGTTGTATGGTGAGAACGGAACCTCAACTTTAGGAAACCTGAACACTTTATAATACAAAATAGTATGGGTGTTCTTTATCCAAAGAGAGACAGTATCTTCTATAGTGGTTCACAATACAAAATTATTTTAGAAGTTAGTTCAGAACTAAAGCAGTCATTGCCTTTTGTGGCAAAACATGCATTGAGAGCTATGTGAAGAACTGCCTCCTCAACAGATGTTTCAAATAATTTATTGAAAAAAAACTAATAAATTCTGTGTATCATATATGATACTTTCCCATAAGAAAAAAATTAACTTGATTTTTGAAAATTTCACAGAACTGTAAACATTTTTATTTTTACTTTTTTTTTTCTTTTGCCAGTTTTGGGGCTTGAACATTGGGCCTGGGCACTGTCCCTGAGCTCCTTTTGCTCACAGCTAGCACTTGAGCCACAGCACTACTTCTGGCTTTTTCTATAATTAATTGGAGGTAAGAGTCTCACAAACTTCTCTGCCCTAATTGGGCTGGCTTTGAACCCTGATCCTCAGATCTCAGCTTCCTGAGTAGCTAGTATTACAGGTGTGAGCCACTGGTGCCCGGCAAAAGTTTGTACTTTTAAAAAGATGACAAAGCAGTGAAACTACCACAGTGTTATAAGTGTTTTCTTCATTTTTCTTCTTAGGAAAAAGGCTAAAAACATTTAATATATTTTCTCATGATTTTTCTGCTAAAAGGATATACAAAAGTGGATGAATCTATCTTTTCTTTGTTCAAAATATTTTAAACATTAAAGTCTAATGACATGTTACAATACATATATTTGTATGATGTTCCTATTTCTATAACAGTTTCTCTACACTCTATGAACAGTGCATAAATGATTCAGTGTAAATCCTTACAGTGTTTCATTGTTACAGAACTTGAGTTCAAGTCAAATAAGGGAAAGACTAGGTCTAAGTCAGTCCTCACCTGTTTTCACAGCCATCCTGGAGCCTCACCAGGTGATGGTGCTGTCAGCCCAGCTTAGGAGGCCTAGAGGTGAGTCAAGCCACCCTTTGAATTGTAGATTCACCTTGTTGTTAGACACAGATAGGATATGCAGATATACTGTGATTAAGCCCCTGGGAAATCCTACCTTTCTTGGTGCCTTTTGTTTTATGCTGGGGCTTTGTCACTACCCAAGCATGAGGTTTTGGTCTTTAAAAGTTTGGTGTTAGCTCTAGTCTAGGCTGCTGGTCTATGAGACAGGAGTCCACCATGCAGACACCGGCCTTTAAATAAAGATTCCTGATTTGAGCTTTCAAACTGTGGCTTCTCTGGATTTGCATCTGAGATACCTTATAACACAAGTACATGTTAATGAACATGACCAAAGTCTTTGTTTAAAATATTATTATAGCACCAGTAGAATTTGACTAAATGTGAACCAAATTCATAATACGTTCTCTAAAATCCTATTCAACAACATGAGGTTTGTTATGTTTGTATATCTCCTGCGTATGAGAGAAAATAGGTTAATTCTGTAGCAGGACACCACAAAAAAAAAAAAGAAAGAAAGCATCATTTTTCTCCATATGTAACTAAACTCTTGTGCTAATATATGTGCTATTGTGCTGTATATGTGCAGATAATTCAAAAGTATTGAAGAGAGAATAGCACCTTAGAAACAACCCTAATATAAATAGTATAACAAAAAAATTTAAGTCTAATAATCTCTTTACTTCTCTTTTCTTATTTGTTTCCTGGACCTAGCTCATTCACTTACATAAAATTATTTATGGAGCCCTATATTATAAATCAAATGTTTGTATAAACAAAAACCACATTAGATTTTTGGCAAGCAAAAATAAATTAATTTGATTAAATTATATGTAATCTGATAATATTTGGTCTGAAAAACATGCTAGTGGGGTGTTTATAAATAATGTAATTGCAAAGAGAGGGAGTGATTGGCCAGCTTCCTAGAGGTCAACTCTTCTGCTGAAGCTTTTGGGCATAGAAATCCCTGCACATGTCGCAGCATCGCTGATACCACCTCATGTCTTGACACAGGTTCTTTTCTCGGATCACTCGGCAGTAAACAGGCCATTGATCTCCTAGGCACTTGAAAGTCAGAGCAGCTATCAACAAAATATAATGAACTTACTACATGTAGAGATCATACATATTATTAGTAGAGACACAATTCAGTCACTTAAGTGGAGTTACTGTGACACATTTACATTGCTTTCTGAAACCTAACACACACACACACACACACACACACACACACACACATCCTGTAATAAGGGAGCTACTATTCTAAACTTTTTAAGCTTACTGGAAATAGATTTCCCACATCAATGTGTGATATTTCTCAGTTTCAATTTTGAACCTTTCTTTAAATTTGTCTTGGCTTCATTATTAATACTGTTATTAGTGGACACACCAGGGTTTGAACTCAGTGCCTTACACTAAGTCAGTTCATGCTCTTATCACCTCCAGCCTAACTTTTGGCTGGTTATTTTGGAGATGCAGTCTTGCAGGCTTCTCTGCTAAGCCTCCTGAATAGTTAGATTTACAGTCATGTCATAGTCCCTGGCCTCCTTTGGAATGCAAACTAATAAACATTGCTATGAATGAAATTGTAATGAAATAGAAATTTGAAAATGTACTCATTGGAGTATCTAGAGAGAGTGATTTCAGATCTTCTAAACTCAAAGGTGATTATTATGAGTAACTGAAATTTACCAGCATACTTAGTGTTTGGAATGAGAATCTAGTATAGAAATTTGGTCCTGCATATTCACCTCAGTTACTAGAAGAAATAATAAATTCTAGAATCCAAAAGGAAGGCAAATCTTGCCAGTATTCAAATTCAGCTAATAATTCCACTTTTTAAAAATTTAGGTTTCCTGCCTTGCCTTGATGTGCCTATGTTTTGGGATAAACATTTCAGAAATACACAAAATGCAACATAAAAATCCTTCTTAATACAATATTTTCTGCCAAATGTTTTCAAGCACTCCAAGTAATAACTAGAGCAAGAAATTATGTTGTTATTGAATATATGGACATTTATTCAATAAGGCTTCTATAATAAGACTGTTGCAAATCCACAAGTGGATCCTTTAAGTTTTGTCTTAATTAGTCTTATTATACTTGGTCTGCCTATTTCTTAAAATGTTATTTGGCTCAAAAGGAAGATTTTTGTATTTGTTTGGGGAACCAAATTTGGCATTACATTGAATTTGCTGCTTGTAAACCCACATATAATTTAGTTCCTTGTATTTTCTCAATCACACTGCATGATACTAATTATTCTTTTGGAGATTACATGTAGAGGTTATTACTGAAGTGTTAAAATAAATGAACTCACTGACAGCCAGGTAGGAGTGCTATTAAAAAAAATCTCTAAGTTGGTAGGTGCCAGTGGCTCACACCTATAATCCTAGCTACCAAGGAGGTTGAGTTCTGAGGATTGCAGTTCAATGCCAGCCGAGTAGGAAAGTCTGTAAAACTTTTATCTCCAATTAAATAACAATAACAACAAAAAGCCAGAACTGGAGCAATGGCTCAAGTGGTAGAACACTAGCCTTAAGTAAAAAAACTCAGACAGAGCACTCAGGCCCTGAGTTCAAGTTCAAGGGCTGAGACCAAAAAACAACAACACCCAAATCAAAACAAAACAACAAAACCCCCCACTAATTTTATAAAGGCCTTAATGACCAAGCTAATTAGTTTTTTTGGTCTTTTATGTGACTATAGGCTACGTCCACTCAAAAAAAATTTCTGCTTTTTGCTTATAGATGAGATTAAGCAATAGAAATTGAGACTATTTCATAATGTACAACACCATTATTTTCTTTTATCCTGACTTTAAGCAGACACTTTCAAGAATCAAAGCAGTTAAGTGTTAAGAATTTTTTTTATACAAAAAACCCATCTGGCTATTTGAGGCAAATCATGTTGTAAATAGAAGCAACTTAATCTAATCAAACTACTCATTCAATATAGTTTTACAGCTCACAGGATTTAAAGTGGTATGCAAATGAGAAGAAGTTATAAGGATATAAAGATTTCTGTGCTTCAGAACCCCATCCACTTTCTGGTCTGCTTACCAAGTCTAGGTGATGTTATGGTATTTACATTGATCTTCTCGTTGCAGGGCTGAAGGTGGCATGGCCTATATGCTGCAGGTTTTTCTGAAGAGAAACATTCATTTCCATGTCTTCCTGTGATCTTATGCATGCACTGGATAACACGAGACTGCATTCCTTTGCCACAGGTAATTGAGCACTAGCAAAGATATAAGATGTATTAAGAGTGCTTTTGTCGTTTTCTTTTCGTGGATGTAAGTCATCTTTTAAAGATAGTCCTTAAGAATTAGACAGGAACAACAATCCAAAGTTGATGCAAAATGTGAATCATGCTCACAAATTCTGCTGAGAATCTGACTGTCCCATAGCCAGTTTTGAGCATTGAAAGACATTGGAGCAGAAAGATGGCTAAATAAAGTTAGAGAGTGTGACTTGAAAGGAAATGCTTGGACAGCCAGTTTTCAAAGTTTTGCAACCAGATTTGCAAGAAGTAATTATTCATTATTTATTACACTTTAGTCGTTGATGTTGAAATGTTAGCATATGATCAATTATGGCACTAAAATCCTTTATTTTTGCTCTGATCTGAAAGTATTAATCATTAGTATATATATATATATATATAATTTTATAGATGGTTTATCACCCTGATGACATTGTTGAAATAACAACTACTTATTAGTAAACTAGATGACATCCATTCTAAAAGTAATGAAAATATATGACAATCTGGATTTGCTAATAAATGCACTTTTATATTTCTCTCTGCTGGTACTGGGGCCTGAACTTAGGACCTGAGTGTTGTCCCTTAGTTTTTTTTTTTTTTTCCTTTCTTTGCTCAAAGCTGATGCTGTATCACTTGAGTCACAGTTCCACTTCTGGCTTTTGGTAGCTAATTGGATATAAGAGTCTCACAGTCTTTTCTGCCCAGACTGGCCTTGAACCACGATCCTCAGATCTCAGCCCTCTGAGTAGCTAGGATTATAGGTGTGACCAGTGCCTGGAAAAATGTACTTTTAATAGATTTCTTGCAGCCAAATATAGTTTGTACAACCTTTTGCAGAGAAGAATATACTTAATGTGCAACAGTCTTATTATAGAAGCTTCATGCTTCCATATATGTCATTAGAATTATTTGGCTGAGAAAATACACTTGTTTTATAATCCCAAAACTATATGTAAGACAGGGAATTTGCTTGTGCTTCTGAAAATGACTGTTTATCAGGCATATTCTTCTCTATGCAATCAAGATTTACCCATATTTGATTAAGCATATTTAGCAAAATAGAACTATTTGAACAAATGATATCACTGTATGTTATTCTAATTCAAAGTAGAAAAATGCTTTGTTTTCCTTTATGATAGAAGATTTGAACTCAGGCCTCAGAGTTCCTAGGCAGCACTTGAATTCTGTTCCCGGACCCTTTCAGCTTCAGTTATTTTTCAAGTAGAATCTCAAGTTTTTGCTTAGGGTATGCCTCAGACCACAGTCTTCCTACCTCCCTCCCGCCTATCTAGAACTGAAAGCATATGTCATTATGCCTGGCCTATTAGTTCTCTTTTTTGCCTAGGTTGGTCTCAAACCTCAGCTTTCTAAAATTTTCTTCTCTGCATTTACCAAGTCAGTATTAGGACTGATTTCTCTTTGCTGTAAGTTCTTTGCTTATTCTGGACATGTGTCTCATTTTTTTTTACATATATATTCTGAATCCCACCCCCCCCCATAAGCCACTAGCTTAGTCTACTGTTGTCAAATTTATCTTTAATACTTGCTTTCTATAGAATCTCACTCATCTGAATATATGTTCTTATTTTATTTTTACATACGGACTCTCCATTGACAAGTATCTTTGGTTATTGATTTCCCCATTACCTACAAGATAGGTAATTTTATTTTTGCTTTTTTCTACCCCTTCAAGCTTTTTCTGTAATGTAAATTTATCATGTTCACATAATTTCTATCCATACTTGTCCTCATATCATGCTTCTCTTCATTAGGCTCCATCTCTTTTCCAGACATAGTCTCAAATTCTACCTTTTCCATAAAGGCTTGCATATCATCCCAACTAAGTATGCATGTTAATGCAGTTTGCATAGTTTAAATCATGAATCTGTATACTGAGAGCATACTCCCAACCATGTGGAGATTCCTAAAAACAGATTTGATGGCAAGTAATTTCTAAGTCAATAAACTCTTCAGGGATCTGAGAGTCTTCAGTTAATAAAAACCAATCAACTTGATTATACTCTGTGGTCAGGGTTGGGAAACTACTGACCAAAAGTACTTGCTCTGCATTTAACATAGACCAGATTGTGTGGTTTCTTATTTTTCAGTATTTCCTTTTAATGCACACAGTTTGTATCTTGGTAGATAAAATTAAGCAAATAAAACCAGATTTATTTTCATGCCATTTTAAATTCAAAGAAAATTCCACATTTCAGGTATGACAGAAGCTTGCCATGAAAGAATGGGATTTTACATGCTATCACTAAAATGATTCTACAGATAGTTGAGCTTATTGTTTGTATGTTGAAGATGGATTTGCACTATGTTGTCCAGGTTGACCTCAAGGAGTCCTATTGCCACAGTATCTGAGTAGCTGAGACTACATGTACGCAATGTTACTTTAACATTGTATTTCGTAAACACGTATGTACAATGTTCAATTTGTACCTGATGGACTACCAGTTTTCAGCAAATAGAGATAAAAAATCCTCATAATTATATATTACTATAGAATTGGCATTTTTCCTTTCAGTAAAATTTAAATTTAAAACTACTATGAGAGGAGTAACTAATATGGCTTAAAATTTTTTTTTTTTCATCTTAGGTTAGTTGTGGTGGCTCATGCCTGCATAATCATAGTTACTCAGGAGGCTGAGATCTGGGGATTATGGTTCAAATCAAGTCAGGCTGGAAAGTCTGCAAGACTCTTAATCCCTACCTAAGCACTAAAAAACCCCCAAAAAACACAAATCAAAAGGCCATTGGAAACTGCTAAGGCTTAAGAGGTAAAGCAATAGCCTTGAGTAAAAAAGCTCAGGGTCAGCTGCCAGGCCCTGAGTTCAAGCCTCCAGAGAGGTACCAAAACCAAACAAACAAACCCTGTCATCTTAAAATCACTTTATGCAATATACAATGAATCGAATTATGCCAATAAAGACATCGTGCTTTCTTAGAAAATATTTTGGAAAAAATGAAATAGTTAAGCTGAAACACAAAAGAGGGTAAGATTATATAAAACAGCATCCTTGTATGTACTCCTAAAATTCTGCATATCTTAAAAACAATCACAATATTTGTAAAACCAAAAGAATACTAGAAACTTTTTAGAAGAGAATGAGTTAACTCATATGAGAAAAGAAAAATTCTCAATTGTATTTCAGAGATATTCAGTAATCAGTCAGAAACTATTTGTGATAATATCTATTAACCATATAAAATCAACATAGAGGACATGAACCAATCAAAGTAACACACCATTTTCAGGCTTGACAAAAATGAAATAAAATAGTTATATGTGTATTATACAATGTATAATCTTAGCTAATACATAACTGGGTATATATATATGTATATAACATATATATATATGTATATAGGTATATATACATGTGTGTGTGTGTATATATATATATATATATTACCAGAAAACAATGGAAGTTTTGTAGTTTGTCTAAAACAGTATCATTTCTGCTCTTGACAACAGTAGAATATATTTTAATATTAAATTGTTTTTCATTTTCTGCAGATTGTAATTTTCACTAAATATCTTATTAATAAGACACTTACTATTAAGTATTTTCTTTATAAAATACAAGTTGGTAAAAACTTTATTATAAATATGTGAAAAGTAACCAGGTATTTGAAATGGAACAATTGAAATCCTAAGATACCTTCTAAACTAGTTCTTACTTTAGTATAGAAAACAATATTGAGATTTCTTTGTTGCTTTGTATGTCCCTCCCCCACGGTATAACCCCTGCTTTCATTGTATTTGATGTTGATATAATTTGTGGAGGGGAAGGGAAAAAACAAATAATTTAAATAGGGATATAGGTGGACCCATTGCAACAATGAGATGTACAAGTCGTTATGTCAAAAAACTAACTTTACAACTTTTTTTGTGGTGGGGGACGGGGGAGGGAGATAGGAAGGGATGGGAAGAGGAAACAAAGGAGGAGGCAACAATGCTTGATAAGAAATGTACTCATTATCTTGCCCATCTAATTGTAACCCTTCTATACGGTATTTTCACAATAATATAAGTAAATAAAAAAATAAACACCCACCCCCAAAAAACAATGAGATGTACAAGTCGTTATGTTGAAAAACGAACTACACAACTTTGGGGGAGGGGATAGGAAGGGGAAACAATGGAGGAAGCAACAATGCTGGATAAGAAATGTACTCATTACCTTGCCCATGTAATTGTAACCCCTCTCTGTATGGTATTTTCACAATAAAAAAAAAAGAAAAAAAGAAAAAAAGAAAAAAAAGAAAAAAAAGAAAAAATTTTGAATTGTTGGCTATTTTGTCAATGACATTGTTATGATTGAAAACAGTCAGACATTAAAAGAAAAAGCAAATATTCTGGCTTGGAATTAGAAGACCTAACTTTTAATATTGCCTACAGCAATGAATATCTGGAATTTATTTTTCCTTTTTGTTGTGTAATGCATTGAAGTAGGTCATAGCAACAGATTCAGGTCTAAATTACTATGGAGGTTAAAAAGTCCCAGTAATTTATTATTGAATGTCATCATTCTTGGTCAATTTTCAAGTGGCAAAACTGTCTAAAGATTAAACTCACTAGCACATTATTTACTGTGATACATAAAAAACAGGAGTATGACATATGTTCTGTCAAACAATATCCAAAAATTATAATTTGTTTGAATGTCTCTGAATTCTTCACCATGTTTTGAGGTTTTCAAATATTTTCTGATTCCCTATTATGTTAAAAAATAAAAAAATCAGATTACTTATACTGTGAATATACTGTCTTATTCAATAATTCTCATTAACAAATCACAATGATATACAATAGGTGGTAGAATGCTAATCGCTTCAGAAGATGGAAGCAGAATACTAATCTCTATGGAAGCTTACTTTACTTTTAACCAATTATTTTGTATGTTATTAGGTTACATTACAACATCATTGTTGGGTTTTTGTTTGCTCTTGTTTTTGTCTTT